ATTCAAAGATATGGCTTATTAACTTCGATAAAGCACGCTCTAATCCTATCATTAAAGATAAGCATTTGCTACTATCAATTCTTCGTGTATTTCATTGGTATCCGCATTTCGGGTTGGAGCCAATCCAGTTGTGAACATTACGGTACGGGTTCTTGTATTCCGATATTCAATACTATTCTGATTATCACACTTATCTACTCAAATCAGCTTGGAATGAAAACAATTAATTTTTTTAATTTGTCTTGTGTTTTATGTACCTATTTGTGGTTTTGTATGTACCGTCGGTGAATATAGTGTTCTTTTCTCTAACTCTTTACTGTAATAAACTGCGTTTTTTAACTGCTTATCGTGGAAGGGATTTTCAAAGAAGCAAATTCAAATTTACGGGTGACTGAAGGAGGATCTTAATTTAATTAATTGATGAATTTTCGTCTAGTGCGGACCCAGGAATATATGAACCAAAAACCTGGGAAGAATGATACACCCATTCTGATCTTGGTTGGTCTCAACCAACAGTGTAAATCAATCGACTCAACTGGGGATCAAAGCTCAGACCACCCAGAAAGGGAAACAAACATAAATAGATATTGTAAAACAGTGTGATTAGCAAATCGATGGTTAAGTGGGTACTATGGTTGCGTTCTACATGTGGGGTTCCATGTTCAGTTCCCAATAGGGTCAATGGATTCGCACTGCTGATGAGGCTAATCAAGATGGAAACAGTTGTACAGTGCTTCTTATATTTGCAGTTTACGTTTTCATTATTCCGTTTACGAAGAAATTCATAATGAAATAGAAATAACTGTTTTAATATTCTCATGCAACGGGGTAAGTATATTCCATATCCTCGTTTCGGACAATGGAGGTGTTAGGAAAACGTATGGACAGATACTTGTTAGGTGCATGCATAACGGGACACCAATGACAGGTTTGAGTTTACTTGACGATAGTGTCATTTGTAGTCACGGTAGACACGATTGCCATTCGACCGTTTTTCGTTTAAACTTGGAAGCAAGGCGGGAAACCACTTGGCCCAAACGATATGCAGAAACACACACAAAGTAAATGATACCAAGAGGAGTCTAGGAGACAGTGTGGTACAGTGAAACAGAATTACTATATAAAATCACTGAAATGAGGTAAGCCCTTTCTCTTACAGAGTTTTGAATACTTGTCTAAATTCCGGGCGCAAGGGGTTCATCCTGTTTTTGAAGGACCACATAAACTGCGGCAATTTGGATGGTTGCGCATTTGTCTGCTGGACTGACACTTCTTTTGCTCATCACCATTTAATTCATGTGAATTGTAAACATGCACTGTGTATACAACTGTGTCAGTCAGCTCACACCGGAGCTGTCCAGAATTGCCAACTGCAGTTGTCTTCAACGAGAGTAAGTCAGTCAGTTTATTGGGAGAGAACAGAGTTCACGGATGGTCAACTATCTCTTTTGGTTACTGTCGGGCCAAATAAACCGAGAGAGCGCACGCGCGGGGGAGGAATAGAACGTAATTGGATATAAGAACGGTAAGTTAGTTAGCTGCTTAAGGAACCTATCATAGTAATTAATTCTGCTAATATTCTTACACGTAACTTTACACTAACTGGATGTTGAAAACCAATCAACATTTATAGCGTCAATAAATCAACGACGATGCGCGAATCCAATATGCACCTTAGGTGATGCTACTGGTAATTGATTTAATAATTAGCTTCTATTTCAACTGCGATAAGTACAGGCAATAGGAAATTTTATTGTGTATTTGTTCGATTGAATGATGTGCGCGTTCGTTGAGGAAAGCGCACCCTGAATAGGGTCCAGTTATATAGTTTCCAGAGATATTTTCTTGTAATTGAATTTAGAAAAAATCATTAATCTGAATGAGACGATTAGTGAAAATCTTTCAGGATATTGTTTCAAAGTTCGCCCTATTATTCATCTCTTAATTAGAACGACTTGGGGTTCAACATGAGAAAAAAATACTTGTACTTGAAAAAGGCAATTAGGTGAAATAGTCATATAGTTCTACACTCAAAGGCAAATTTTTTAGCTGATTTTCTTCATCGATTTAAACCTTGCTGTGTCAAACCTCAGAAGGGGTCAACCACGGAGTAGAAGAAATCTACTACTCAGTTGGATCGACGGATTCGATGATAAAACCCAACCTGGTCGAAACAGCTGCCCTGAAGTGCTTTCTAGCTTTTCAGTTCACGCTTCATTTGCCATATACACGACGAATTTCCCCTCTGAAATGGAATCAAATCCTCCATTACTCACATGAAATACTATATATCTATTGAAAACGTTAACCAGGACTAACGACGGACTTACGGGCCCCGATAAGATAGATGTGATATTAAGCTGACCGGCAAGATAGCGGCTTGACACTAATCTTGGGTGGTGGTGATGGCAGGGTTCGAAACTCAAACTTTAGGGACTAGAACAGGTTTTAGTCATTTACAGACTATTATGGCCAATGCTAAATAACACATGCGGACTAGTGAATGGAGGTAAAATTTTTGGTAACTTATGAATTAATAAAACAAGACTGTCGTAGAGGACTTAAAGTCAGAAATTACAATTTTCAAATTAAAAACCATCCGGAAAGAAGTTGGTAGTGATACAGTGGCTTGTAAGTGAAAATGGAGGGGTGGGACTGTGATTTACGACTGAGTGTGAACTACTATGAGAATAATTAATGTTTGTGAAAAATCTTAATTACGTTTTCGGGGTGATATTTTCGTTTTGAAATTATTTTTTTTACTAGTGAATAAACAATTGAGCGAAAAATTCATTTGCATAGTTTGAAGACTGTTTTCTTTCCATGAGTCTGTGAATAAACACAACGATGGTTTAAGGACCATAAGGCGATAGATGAAGAACTGTCAACGGCTGTTCCAACATCAATAATTCAAAATCTATCCATACCGGTTTGAGCCTCAAACGAAAAAGGTAA